TAAATGTGGTTTTTTTTTTCTATAAAGTGATACTGTTTATTAAAATATTGATTTTTATTCTTTCTACGAGAGAAGATCAATCGTGTAAAACTGGTAGAACTTTGATAATGACGTTTATGTATATAGCATTATCGTTTATCTTGATTAAATAGTCATCAAGTAGTGCATATAAATATTCTATCTTAAATTTACTTCTAATCTATAATTTTTAAATATAATTTTAGAATTCTTTAATTCCTTCATAATTGTTAATTTAAATATTTTTCAATTTTTAATTTTCAATTTTAATTAATTCAATGTTTTTTTTAGTTTTAATCTGTAACGTAGAAATAAGAAGCTAGTTGATAACAAATTAATGGCAAACATGTATATTAATTATATTTTATTATTTTATAGATAAATGTGAATTATATAGCATAATGTTGCGAATGTACGATCTATGTTATTTGAGAAGTGATACAGTAAGCAAATAAATTGCGTGTTAACCAGATAAGGCGGGAACGGTGGAATCAAATGATACAGATTTTTTTTTTTTTACTAGATAGACATACCCGAAGAGTCATTTGGATTCTGGACAAGTTGATTGTCTTTGTTTTATTAGAAAAGAGCTCGTCACTAAAGCGCACATTTTTTCTACCGAAGCACAACTGTTTTTTCTATCACAGACGGAATTGCAAACGATTTTTTACTAGCAGAAGAGATTCAGTAAATCAAGGTATCAAAATTATTATTTCCTAGAAAATATTTAGAAAGAAATAGAAGATTATTTCCTAGAAAAACCTTGTGCTCAAAATAATTATTATTGTTATATAATAATCGAAGAATAATCTCAATTACAATTATTACATGTAATTGATTTGTTAAATAAATGTAATAATTGTTATTTATAAAAATTGTTAGGAGGCTTCGCAGACTTTTTGAAAATTGGGAGAAGTCAATTTGAATACGATCGTGAGGCCAGGTAGTGAATTACACAGTGTAGCTGATAATACGAGTGTGAAAGAAAACTTTCGATAATTTACGAAGAAAGGATACGCTATAATCATATTATAATAACTCGTTAAAAATATAGTGCAGAAATTTTTTTATTTAAGAAGAAATGATCCTTCAACGCGCCTAACAGAAGCGTCGAAATGTCAATCACCTTATAAATTAATCGATCGCTTATAAACTGTAATCAAAGTGATAATTCACGGCGAGTTAATGCTGCGTGTAAGGACCGATGGATTCAACGAAGATCAGATCGAAGCCAAATCCGCGAGAAAAGGCAAACATCATATCGGTGTTGCTGTGGTGGTGAGTTTTCTGGGTCATCAGATTTTCCTTTGACGAAGAAATTTTTCCAGTTCTTCCAACCAAATATAGAGGGTGTTCATGCATTTGAGTACTTGAAAATATCCGTCTTAAATATTTGAATATTCAGAGATTTACGAATTTTTGGCTATTTGAATATTAGATACCTGAATATTAAAATATTTGGATACTGGAATATTTAGACATTTGAATACTGGAGTATTTGATATTCAATCTAAAAGATTTCAATGATTTAGACAAATATTTAGACTTATAAAATATGAAAAATATCTAGATTTATAAATATTCGCAAATTCGATTAATATTTGACATTTGCATAAAAATTTTGACCTAAAAATAATACTACGTTTAAAAGTATCCAGATATAAAAGCAGCAAATTCAAAATGATATTTTATGGCAAAGTGCGTGCTGTTCGTACTGTTTAAAATTGGCCTTTACTTGAAATTAGTTCTTATCTTCACGCAAATTTGCTTTATCTTTAAAGATGATGCTGCTGATTTCGTAGAGTTAATATAATAAAAGCGCGTTGTCATATCGTGAAATTGCACAAAGTTATTTTTAATTCCTCAGTATAAACCTCAAACTTGACGTATTCTTATTTTTAAGTATATTGTATTTAAGTAAATTGTCTGTAATCTAAGACAATTCGAGTTGCAGTTGAATATTTAATTTTTAATTTACGCGAATCACTTCAAATCAAATTAGGTGGACCATCACTTTATTCAAGACAGGATACAGGAAAATTTTAGAATCAGAGGATTTGTATGATCCCCTCAAGACTGACCGATCGAAACTACTCGGAGATCGATTAGAAAAGTTAGTACCGAAAGTTAGTACCGATTATATTTAAAGACGATAAGAAAGAAAGAAAAGGAAAGAATATATTTGCGAATTTTTTTTCTCTTTTTGCATTTTTTTCCTTGGAATAAAAATTATAGTAGCGTATCGGTATGCTTGCAGACGATGGAGAATCGAGCTAGAAAATTCGAAGAAATGGAAACGCAGTCCAAGTCTGTTAAGGACCATTTTCCGCACATTCCTTTGGGAGTACTTCCTACTAGGACTAATACAAATACTCAACGAATTAGTGCTAAGGTACTCGCTAACGTTCATGTCTCCGTCAAAGCTTTTTTGTACTTTGCTTCTTTCATAAAATTTAATAAAAAAGCATTCCTTTTTATTCGATCAACGCTGATGCAATTGGTTACAATAAATAGACTTGCTGTTAATTATCATCTCCTTTATAAAATTTCTTGAATTAAATTATTGAGTAAAGATATATTGATAAGATATATCTCCATATATTTTGAGATTTAACTATCTGTACATAGCAATTTGAAGAATATGAATTTGCTCTCTTATCATTTTACATTTGCGTTTAGATGATGAAGTATTATACAGTATAGTTATTGACGTTAGACAATCTCATACTGACTGAATTGTATGGATAAAACTTCAAACGAAGGAGAAAAATATCTAGAGATATTTGTAAATGAGACATTTATAAATGTTAAAAAAATTTGAAACAGAAGATACTTTTATCGTATCTGTATTGTAAGTTTTGATATAACTGTACAATGTGAATGTAACCAATAAATAATGTAATAACAATTATAATAATTGTAATAGTAATAATTACCTAAGATGTAAAATAACACGCAGTAATGACGTGTAAAAAAATAATGCGCAAAATTTATTCAACAGATTAGGGACACCGTTACTGCTAGGAGGTCTTCTACGCTACTTCCGGAAAGATTCGGTTGAACTGTATGAAAATGCTCTATGGTACGGAGCAGGTATTTGTATAACGATCGGTATGAACGTGATAAGCGGCAATCAGGCGATTTTTGATGCTTTTCACGTGGGTGCGAAAGTTCGTATAGCTGTCTGCTCTGTGGTATATAGAAAGGTTAGTCAATAATTGAAATAATTTATTGAAGAAATTCCAACAAAGCAGGAACTAAAATGAATCTGAGAAGCATGTCTATAATGGAGTTCCATATATTTTAATTATTTCAAATAAATACTTACTATGAAAATACTACTGAAAAAGAAAAGTAAGGATTATAATAAAAAAGAAGAAAAAAAAAGAAAAACCCTAACGACGAAAGAAATTAATTTTAAACTTTTTAATTTCTTTTAAAAAACTCTTTAAAGTTTTTGAAAGACTAAGTCTCAGTATTATGATCAAGTCAGTTTCAACGAGCACGTCTATGTTATTAAAACGTTTACGAGTTAAATGTTTTCTTGCGCTACATGTCAGCGTTTCATTTTTCAGATTATATAACGGATTATGTTCCGTATTTATTTTATAGGCTTTGCGTCTGAGCAAAACCGCACTAGGCGAGACAGCGCCCGGGAAAGTGGTTAATTTAATGGCCAACGATGTCAATAGGTTCGATCTTGTCTCTATCCTTATTCATCACATGTGGTCCGCACCTCTTTCCACTTTGATCGTGGCTTACATTCTGTATCAAAACGTCGGTTATGCTGGTCTCATCGGTATCGTTGCAATCTTCATAGTTGTGCCGATTCAATGTGAGTCTCACATAACCAGATATCTTTTTTGGAAGTCTGGAAGAATTTTAGATTATCTTTATTCACTCACAAAAAATGTAAATTAAGAATATTACCTTCGATCTTGGCAATAAGTCTTTTTTTTTGCGGACGTTCACCGATTCCTATTCTGACGATTTCAGCCTATACCGGCAAGCTGTCGTCGAAGTTCCGCCTCCAGACGGCTATTAAGACGGACGAGCGAGTTCGTCTAATGGACGAAATTATTTCCGGAGTGCAGGTGATTAAAATGTACGCGTGGGAGAAGCCGTTCTGTGCCATGATTGAACTGGCGCGTAAGTTCGAGCTTCGGGTGGTCACTAAGAGCTCGTACATCCGCGGCGTCTACATGACCTTCAATCTTTTCACAACTCGGATGGCGCTTTACTGTACTCTCATTTCCATGCTGATGTTCGGCAACGATCTAACCGCTGACAAGGTGTTCGTTGTTTGTTCCTTCTTCAACATCCTTGCGCACACCATGACCGGCATGTTTGTGCGTGGCTTCGCCGAGTTGGCCGAGTGTATGGTGGCCATACGCAGACTTCAAAGTTTTCTCATGCTTGAAGAGTTCCAGGGTAGCAACGTGGTTGTTTCTAAGGTTTCTTCCGCCTACAACGTCAATATTAATTCGAATCTTAGACGAGCTTCTAAACAAGATCCGCCCTATATCGACGACGATGTTGCGGAGAATCTTGAAGAGGAGAATCTGGATGAAAATAACGATCATAGGAAACATAATGGACGGGTGGTTATCAGCGACTTGCTCAAAAACACTTCCAATCTTGTTGGAGGTAAAAATTCAATTCAATAAACTTGGAAAAGAATATTTTATGATTTAAATAAATAAATATATAAATATATAAATTCAAATCAAATATATAAATTAGGGATAAATTTATTGGATAACCAAATATTACCTAGTAATTACAGGAAAAGATTGAAAAAATGAATTTAACTGTTTTTGTTGAAATAAAAATTTCTTGAAATAAAAAAGATGATTATAATAAGCATTATATGTATACGGCGTTACAGTAACATACGGGAGTATGAAGAGTTGCTTACTCATGCAGGAATACAGGATTGTTCACAGTTTAATTAGGCTTTGATATAATCAATTCTATTAAAACTTGAGGCTACAAATTTTATTGTGCAAATGGTTAGGTATGCTGAAGCCTATTCAATTGTGAACAGCATCTGTACGTCTGCAATCTGTCATACTGCCTACAATATGTGTTGCAATACCCTATAGATTTTACTATTTCCCAAATTAAAATTTATTCTTTTCTATATCTATAATATATTATGCACACATACACATGATTCTTCTTAGAGTATTCGAATCTTTTTTTAAATCTAATATAGACAATGTTGTGAAAATATTCGAAAGATGTTTGCTATCTCAAATTTGATATATTTACATATTAAATTTTTGAAGAAAAAAGAAGTAATCTTAACAAAATAATAACTTAAAAAATATCAAAATAAAATTCTAATTTTTCAATGTCTTTTATAAATTTTTTAATTTTTTTGAAAATATCTTCTTCAAATTCTTCAAAAATTTTATAACATATCTTGTCCTATCTAAATATTTTCGACATTTTCTTTATATTTATTTTTAAATCGAGAAATTTAACTTTCAACGAAATTTTACTGTTTACAGACAAGAAGCGGTTACCTATGTATGACAATTGGGCCATTAATATGATTGACGTAACTGCCAAGTGGGAGATAAGACAATCAGAGAACACCCTGGAGAATATCAACTTGCAAATAGAGAAAGGCAAGCTCTATGCGATAATCGGCATGGTGGGCAACGGCAAGAGCTCTTTCTTATCCGCGATTCTAGGCGAGATTACCTTGACGGAAGGTCAGGTAAAAGTCAATGGTGGTATCAGTTATGCCAGCCAAGAGGCCTGGGTCTTCGGTGCTACTGTCCGACAGAATATACTCTTCGGACAGCCTTACGAGCGTCAACGATACCAGAAGGTGGTCAAGGCTTGTGCTTTGCTGCATGACTTCAAGCAGTTTCCGCAAGGCGATCAAACTGTCGTAGGTGAACGAGGAAGTTCTTTGTCCGGAGGTCAAAAGGCTAGAATTAACTTGGCCAGAGCTTTATACAGACAATCGGATATATATCTGCTCGATGATCCTCTAAGTGCGGTGAGTGATTATCAAAAAAGTTAATATACTTTAATATTTTTTTCAGACGTGTCGTATCAAGGTGAATTTTATGAATAAAAATAATCTAGTATTTTTCGTTTTGAATATAAATCTTGACGAAACATTTTTTGTTTAAAATTCTAGGTTGATGCACATGTCAGTAAGCATTTGTTTCAAGAGTGTATTCAAAGATATCTGGTTGGTAAAACGAGAATCCTGGCGACGCATCAGCTACAATATATAAAAGGAGTAGACGCTATTTTACTGCTCGAGCAAGGAAAAATAAAATATTTCTCGCATTATCAGGATCTACTGGAATTTCGACCTGAGTATAAACTACTCCTGGCAGCGGAAAATGAGGCAAACGATGACTCGTCCTTAGAGAAAAGCATAAGTTTAAGACGACAATTTTCCTCCTCAAGTAATAGAGTAAGTGAAAATATGTCTACAAAATTACGAAGAAAAATGAAAGAGATAGAAAAAACAAATTTTCAAAATATTATAACTTTTATTTCTGTTTTAAATTGTTTTTAAGACAAATTACAAAAAATAATTCTCTAGAGAAAAATCCTTTATAATAATATAATTAAAAATTTTTGTGTATTTAATATTATAATGAATAATATCTAAATAACGAATACAAAGAGAAATGAATATTACTGAAGATAATGTTTTTTCAACAGAATCGAACTCCAGAAGCCAGCAGTGACGATACAGATGATGAAGATGAAGATGAAGATTCCAAAAAATTGAACCAAAAAATTGATGGTCTCGAGAGGACGTCGCGTGGCCTCGTAAAGGGTCCTATATTTATCAAATACTTTCAAACCGGTGCCAACTTATGCATAGCTTTTATCGTTTTACTTCTGTTCATTGTCACACAATTTATCGTCAGCTTTAACGATTATTTTGTACCTTACTTGTGAGTATATTACTACATTAGTTAAAGAAACAGTCATTTCCTGTAGAAATAATTATTTATTACATATTACATATTATATATTTTTTTATAACATTGCCAATTTTCAGAAATCTATTAATTTTTATATTAAGTTTAATAACGTATGTTTAATATAAATATTTTTATTAGCATTAAGCAAAGTTTTTATTATTTTCTGTTATTTCATTCATTGTCAAATAATTTTTTGTATTAAATTTTTTCAGTGCCAATTATGTGGAAACGCAAAAATATGAGCTTAACATAAATCAAACAGATGATGCTTATACAAACATGACAATAAGTATTGCCAACAAAGGTATATCATCAGTAATTAATTACGTCTATGTTTATACGGGCATTGTAATTGGCATTTTTTTCGTCGGCATCACTAGATCGTTGGTTTTCTACAAGACATGTATGACATGCAGTCAACGTCTGCACGATATGATGTTCGGCGCGTTAATTCGTACAGGGATGCGATTCTTCGATACTAATCCGAGCGGTAGAATCCTCAATCGATTTTCCAAAGATATAGGTGCGATCGACGAATTATTGCCCAAGGCAATCTTAGATGCCGGCCAAATGTATATGATGATATTGGGATCACTGATAGTGATTTGTGTAGTTAATCCCATTTTCCTGGTGCCTGTTATATTTATTAGTGGGATGTTTTATTTTATCCGTAAAGTTTATCTCAAGACTAGCAAGAACATCAAGCGATTGGAAGGAATTGGTATGTTATGTTTTTATATTTTTGTTTTTAAAATTTATTACATTTTTTATTATACATTTTATTTTATATTATTATATATATTTATTTAATATATTATATTTTCTTTATAAATAATTCAAAGTTGAAAATATTTTTTATATATATTTTTTATATATTTTTTATATATTTTTTATGGATATAAGGTATCTTTTTCTGTCTCTATTTCTCTCTTATTACACTTAATTATTATTAATTATTTCTTTTTGCAAGAAAAGTATTCTTTAAATTTATTTATTCTTTAATTTCAATTTTTTTGTATATTTTTATAATCACTCCTTTTATAATTTATTACGTCAAACATGTTCTCAGCAAAATTTTAATAAGAAGTTATTTTTTTGAAGATACAGTTTTCTCATAACTGAAAATTTCTTTTATGTTACACAGCACGCTCGCCGGTATTCACTCACTTAAACGCTACATTGAACGGTTTGATGACCATCAGAGCATATTGTGCTCAGGACATACTTAAAAATGAATTTGATAAGCTGCAAGATTTACATACGTCCACGGTTTACATGTATATTGTGACCAGCATAGCATTCGGATTCTCTTTGGATGTATTTTGTTTTCTCTTCACTTCGCTCCTTACCTTTAGCTTCTTGCTATTCAATCAATGTAAATACTCACATACAATTCTATTTAACTACGAGCCGATTCCAAATTATTTAACAATCAGTTTTATTTTTAAATACATATTAGGAAAAAACGATTAATATTTTTTTATGAAAAGTCTATTGATAATTAATCAAAATTACATAAAGTTATAAAGAACTATATTAAATTATATATATATATATATATATGTATGTATATAAAGTTATAAAGAATTTGATTTAAAGCAATTGTTATTATTTTTAACAAATTTTTCCTGTTAATATCAAGTAATAATCTGTTTAGATTAAATTTAAATGTAGACTTAAAAGAGATTAATATTAATATATTTTATAAAAAAATATATTAATTTGTTAAAGGGTTCATAATTAAAGGTTCATTATTTTATTTGGAGTAAAATGTATACATTCAAATATTGTTATTATTTTTTAAAAAGTCTTCAAATTATACTAGAATTATCTAGATCTAAATTATACTAGAATATAGAATTACACAAAAAATTAAATAATTTAATGTCTTTGGAAGATTTGAAAAAGACTATTATAAGAAATTTATTCTATATTTATTCTATAAAGAAGAACATTGCGATTAAAGATCTAACTGAAACATCTAAGAATATATACAAGATCGAAAACAGAAAAAAAAATTAAATGCATATCTTCTAGCATTTTCTGGTGGAGAAGTCGGTTTGGCCATTACTCAAATAATGGCGATGACCGGAATAATCCAATGGGGTATGCGGCAAAGCGCGGAGGTGGCGAACCAAATGATGGCAGTGGAACGTGTACTCGAATACATTCAGCTTCCGGCAGAACCGAATCTACGAGACCAGGAGGTGTACATGAAGAAGAAGGATAAAAAGCTGGCATTGCCATCCAATGCACCCAACACTTGGCCCGATGAGGGTTGTATCAAATTCAAGAATGTTTATATGCGCTATGCAGACGAGGAACCGCCTGTCCTCAAGAATTTAAACATTGTGATCTATCCCGGGGAAAAGGTACGATGTTATGAAAAGAAATTTTGTGTACCAATATTTGACAACTATCAGGAGATTCTGCAGAGGACAAAAAAATGAAAGAAATTTATTTTAAAAGAATCTTAATTTCTCTTGGGAATTCAAGATATTTTAAAAATTATACCGATTTCTTTTTTTCTTAAGATAATTTTATGAAGATTATTAAGAGATAAAAACATTTTTAGTTGTATTCAATTTAATTTTGAAAAGTAAAAATTGTATCAACGAAGTGAAATAAATAAAGAAAATTATATCTATATTTATTGTTATATATACATGTAATATAAAATTAGAAATAATTGAGATGTATTAAGAATAATGGGATTATTATACAGATCGGTATTGTGGGAAGAACAGGCGCTGGAAAATCCTCGTTGATATCAGCTTTATTCCGATTAGCGAAAGTGGAGGGAATCATCGAAATTGACGGTACGGACACAGGTTTGATAGCCTTGGAAGATTTGCGACGCAAAATCTCCATCATACCCCAGGATCCCGTTTTGTTCTCAGGTACTCTGAGACATAATCTAGATCCCTTCAACGAATTTTCCGACATGGATTTATGGGAGGCACTCGAAGAGGTTTGAATAATTTCTAATTTAAATATAAAATCGTATTTATAATCGGAAATATAATGTGCTGTGACATCCAAAGATTCAATGGTTTCAAGTCAAGTTTCAAAATCTATCGAGTTATTTAAACTCTCAAATCTACCATTTCAATCTTCTAGAATTCAAGTTCTAAGATTTTTAAAAATTTTACATACACAATTACACATACATTGAATAATTATACATATTATAATTATAGACATTTTATACTATTCTCTTTATAATAATTGTTTTTGTATTCTGTTTTTGTATACTGTATTCCAGGTTGAGTTGAAAGAAGCAATTGTTACTTCCGGGAACGGCTTAGAAAGCCGCGTTTTTAACAGAGGCAGTAATTATAGCGTCGGGCAGAGACAGCTAGTATGTTTAGCGAGAGCTATTTTGAGAAACAATCGTATATTAATGTTGGATGAAGCGACGGCGAACGTAGATCCGCATACCGATGCATTAATTCAACGAACAATCAGAAAGAAGTTTGCAACGTGCACGATGCTCACAGTGGCGCATCGATTGAACACTATAATGGACAGCGACAAGGTCCTAGTAATGGATAAGGGTCATATGGCTGTAAGTATGGGAAAAACTAAGCTAATATGGCTGTAAGATGGGAAAAACTATGTGGGAAGAAGATGGGAAAAACTATGTGGGAACTAGATGGGAAAAACTATGTGGGAAGAAGATGGGAAAAATTATGTGGGAAGAAGATGGGAAAAACTATGTAGGAAGAAGATGGGAAAAACTAT